GTTTAATCAAATTGATGAGGCTAGATGAAGTTATGTATTTACAAAATGATGTAAGTGGTATATGGCGTCATATATATGTGTTGAAAATGGTCGTAGACGAAATGAAAGAAATAGACTTAGGCGAGATGAAATTTATCATTTACAAAATGAAAGAAATAGGTCTAATCGAGAAAACGTTAATCGTCGCCAAACTGAAAGAAGAGCTGTTGGACAAGGACGAATGTATTCTATAGCGAGAAGTAATGCTATTCCAGATTATAATTATTTAGGAGAAATGAATCAAATTTGTCAGGACTCTAGTGCTAAGAAATTTCTAGATGAAACACATTTTCTATGTTGCCATAATGGTAAGGTAGCTTTGCCTCCACTTTCACCAATTACACAAGCTTTACAGGATTTGTATACAGGGAGTTATGTATATTGTAATGCTAATGCTAATTTTTTAAAACATATTCGAAATTATAATGCCTGCCTTTCTTTTGCTTCTTTTACAGCAAATGTAGTTCAACCAATGAATTATGGGCTTCCATGTTTTAAAATATGTGGCCAGATTTTTCATCGTGTAGGTAATCTTAGGCCAGATCAAGATATTCCACCAATATATTCTCAACTATATATTTATGATCCACTTGCTGCACTAAATCTTAGAATGCAACACTGTGGTAATGATCTTTGTTTACGTGATTTAATGTTTCAATTGCAAACTATAATTATGGAACAAAGTCCATTTGCTCTTGCATTTAAAAACATGGCTGAAGTAGAAGATGAAGAAATTCGTAAGGCGGCTATAGAAGGTCGCTCAGCTTCTGTTGTAAAAATGTCTTTACTTGAAGGCAGTGATAGACGTCGTTATAATCTACCTTCACATGATGAAGCTGCAATTGTATTTGTTGGCGAAGATGGTGCTCCCCAAACTTCCAGGGAAGTTGTTATTTACCCAAGAGGCCATCCTTTAAAAATTGTATCAAGTATGTCAGCCAACTTGGATCCTATGGTTTATTCGCTGTTTTTCCCAAGAGGTGATGCTGGTTGGCATAATCAATTGGTGCATAACCCTGAGCGTGCCACACTGGTTAGAAATCATGTTACATTATCTCAGTACTACAATTATAGACTTTCTGTAAGGCAATTTTTCTGTTCATTATTTTATGGCAAGAAACTATTTCAGCAATATGCTGTAGATGCATATGTAAAAATTGAAGGCCAGCGTCTTGCTTATATCAGAAATAATCAAAATAAGCTGAGAAGCGAGCAGTATGATGCCTTACATGAACATATTAACAACATTGCCAATGATCGTAATATTAGACTGCTAAGTGTTGCGCTAAGTGTTGCGCAGTTTGGTTTGTGCGCAGTTTTTCTTCTGTTCTGGAATTTTGAGATTGGAATTTCCAGACTTATCTTAAAAAGCGCGTTTTCGTTATAAAATTTCTTTACATCTAATCGTACCTATCAAGTAGGTCATATTCAATATAATTAAATCGTTTTCTTTTTTTATGTTTTAACATGGCTATTACCTTTATTAAATTTGTTTTTAAGCATATAAGTTTTTATTTTTTATATCGAATTAATAGAATGAATCAGATTGAAGATGAAGGTTTGTATTTATTTAGATGTGTATTATGTTACAGATGTATAATGTTGTTAATTCTTAAATATATGTTTATTTTTAGTTGCTGAATTACTAAGAAGTAAGTTTTCTTTCATTTTGTTATAAACAAATGTTATAAATTGCATTTATATGTTTGTTAATTTAAATTAACTTTACAATATTAAAATGGTTTAAACGAACTTAAACGAACTCTTGTAAATGAATTTAATCATCAAAGATTAAATTTTTTTTATTATTGAAGAAATTAAACTAGATTTAAAAATAAGTCGACTTAAATGTTTGTTTGTTTTTCTATTTAGATGATGAAAATATTAAAGCAAGTAACTTAAAAAGCATTTTTAAATTTTAAAAAAGAAATAAAAATACTTTTTAATACATATCTGTTTCTTCGAGGTAGATTTAAAATTTGAGGTTTTTAAAATCATATATATTATAAGATTTAAGAATGAGTCGACTTGAATGTTTGTTCGTTTTTCTATTTAGACGTTGGTGGTAATATTGGAACAAGTAAGTTATAAAGCATTTTTAAATTTTAAAAAAAAAATAAAAATACTTTTTAATATATATCTGTTTTCTTCGAGGTAGATTTAAAATTTCAGGATTTTAAAATCATATATATTATAATATAAAATTCTTTTTAACTTTAAAAATATCAATATTATAGTTACACTGAGTCGTAGAAAAAAAATTAAAGTTTATTAATAAGGTAGTAGATTATTAGAGTAGATTAAATTGTTTGATCTATTAATCAACTTAATAACGTACTATTAAAGTGAGGATTTATTTTGGTTGTTTGTTAAAATTTAGTTAGAGTTTATTTAAAATTTAAATTCTTTAGTTAATCAAGAGAGATGTAATAAAGGTATTAATTACATTAGTTGAATGTAGCATTTAATATGTATTTTATCGTCTAAACATGATATTTTAACGTCTAAACATTAAAGTGTTTATATTGTTTAGATACAGAAGTGAAGAAGGAAATAAGTCAGTGTTTTTGCTATTAGATATTTGTTAATAGGAATTTGTTTATTTGTACTGCCACTGGAATTTTAAAAAATCAAGTTCTTTAGCTTTTTTTTTATACTTTCTTTTAGGGGAGTTGGAACAAAAACTAAGTATAAATTATGATTAGTTTAGTTTAATAAATAAAGCATTATTATTTAGAAGATTTAAAGTTTACTTTAGTTTATAGTTTTGGTTTAGTTTATAGTTTTGTTTTTAGCTTTAGTTATTTTTTTCTTACTTTAGAAAACTTTATGGATGAAATGAGGGGGATGGGTAAAACAATTATTTAGATATGTATATATTTATATGTTAACATTATTTTATTGATTATTATATATTTATTTAAGTATATATTTGTCTTTAGTGTCTGGTGGAAGTATAACTGGTAGGATTGTGTTTTATATTTTATATATTTTGTATGGAGATATATGTGCAATAGGTAAACAAATTAATTAATAAATATGACACTTTTCAACTGGTTGCATTATTGCCCTATATATTTATTAAAATACAAAATATTGCACGTTTAACCCTTATTAATTTGCTCTCTTTTTTTTTTTTTTTTTTTTTAGCATCTTCTGTTTTGAATGAAGATGGTGAGGTTATGCTAAATTTTTTTTTTTAATAATTGCAAATGTATAATTTTTATATTCTATTTGTAACTTTAGATTCCTTATCATTCGAAAATTACCAAAATTATTGCTTCCAACACCCGGGACCTCTCTCAGAGAGGTCCTTTAATAAATGGCGGTATGGATGAGCCCTCCTTTAAATGGAGGGCTCATCCATACCGGGGTGTTGGGAGACACCGAAGAAAAAACAGCAACCAAAAGGTTGTAAATGTCTTCTATCAGTAGAGATATTTATGACTTTTTAGTTGCTGCTTTTTCTTCGGTTTTTTTTTTTTTTTTTTTTTTTTGTTTCGGTGTTTTTTTTATTATAATTTTGTAATTTTTTTTTAAAATATATATTACGTTGTATATTTGATTTGTTTTAATCTTTTTTAATAAAATTAATTGTTTTCTCACCAATTAAACCTGACTTCAAATTTAAAGCCCTCTTAAATACCCCTCCCTAAATTCTAAAGTCGAAAGTTGAATTGATTCATTATCCAATTATCATAATATAATGATGCTGCATTCTTTTGTTAAAAACAATTATTTGGTACTGCTTTTAAAATTTACCAAAACCCAAGGCAATATATTTAGCTATATAAATACAATTTATTTATCTCGACTCCATTCTTTATCTTTTATGTTTATAGTTTGGCTTCTTAAAGCATTTTATGTTTTGCTCTTTTTATTATGAATATTTTAAATCCGTTGTGATGTCTTTTAAATTAAACTAAAGTTTACTAAAAGCCAACATAAAAATTACGTTTTTGAACAAAACCAAAAAGAACAGCTGCATCCCTACAGCAACTGCTGCAGTATCACATAAGGTTACCAAAAGCAGGTATACTGTTTTCCAGTTGTTGTTTTTTTTTCATATATATCTACTTATTTATATAATACTATAGTACGAATGTTTATATCTCATTCTTTTTTTTTTCTTTATCTTTAAGTGTTAATAATTTGATTCTTTAAATGATATTAGTTAAACAAGTCGGCTTTTCATTAAAGATATTGGTGTCAAAATTGAACATCATTGGCAAAATGCTTACAAAATTAGGTAGTTTTTAAAAATCTGTTTTCTATTTAATACACTTTTTTTTAAATATACTTTTTTAATATACTTTTCTATAACAAATCTACTAATATGGAATCACGAAAATCGATGTCAAATTTGAAAATTTGACATCGACTTTCTGTGCATATAATTCAAGTCATTTTATGGTTAACTTTATCTTTAAGGAAGCTAAGAGTTCTCTTAAACTAAGAAGCCAAGAAAAATAAAAGTGAGCTCAACTAAAAAAATGTATAAATAAATTTATATTTCGTTAGAGAAAGTAAATAAAGATCAAATTGTTAGTAATGATTTATTTACTACTAACCCGTAATACGGGTTGCTTACTGTTTAAATAAATTTATATTTTATTAGAGAAAGTAAATAAATATCAAATTTTTTGTTATGATTTATATACTACTAACCCGTATTACGGGTTGCTTACAGCTAGTATATTATTAATATAACTAAAAAAAGGTATTATTATTTTTAGCATTATCATATCATTATTTTAATAACTTTTTCGCTAATAAGTTCGTTTTATTTAAAGTTAATTGAAAATTTATATATATAATTATAATAATTAATACTATTCTTTCGTTTAACATTTGTATAGCTGTTTGTTCTCTTATTTCATTTATTATATTTATATATATATATATATATATATATATATATATATATATATATATATATATATATATCGCAGTGGCTACGGTACCGGCTGCTGGATCTTTAACTCTTGGTGCTAGAGTACCGGCTGGTCTGGGCTCTAGCTAATTGCGGTTACGTAACTATTAGTTGATTTACTTAAGGTCCGCGTCTGGTAATTAATATTAAAAAAATCAAATGCATTTGTTTTAAAAATGGAAGTCGGTAAAGTATTTAATAGTTTCAATGAACTTAAGCAGGCAATTGAAGAGTATGAAAAATCAAGTTTTATATCATTATATGTTCGCGATAGTCGAACCATTGAGTTAGCGATCAAAAAAGGTTTGAAGCGCTCTATTAATAAGGAATTAAAATATTATTATTTAACATATTGTTGTTATCATGGTGGGCGCCAGTTTAAGTCAAGATCAAAAGGTATTCGTCCAAATCAAAGGTAGGATGAATAAATACATACTTATTTTAAATTTATTTTAGAAAATAGAAAGTACTTTAACTTTAAATAAAGATTTTTCATCAATTATCGATAGCACATATAACTTCAAATGCCCGTTTACTATTTGCATTGGAGTCACTGAAGATGGAAAGCAGTTCTGTGTTGTTAAAGTTATTAATGAGCACAATCATGCAATTGATAAAGTAATAAGTATAAATTTGTTTATTTATATTATTCATATAAATTTTTGAAACAAATGTCAGTGTGAATGTCAAATATTTTTTAGATATTTTATAATTGTATCAAAATATGTCACAGGACACGTTACTAAAGGTTAAAAAAAGTTAAAGTAGGTATGTGCGTTAAAAATTTCGTAAAAAAAAGAATGACTCTTCAAAAAGTTATGTTCCTTTAACTAACAAAATTGGACTAGAAGAACTGATGAAAACTGCTACCTATTTTAGAATGTCATATTTGGCTAACAGTAGTTTTGCTACGAAACTTTATTGTTATTTGTTCAATATTTTGCTTTATTTACAATATTTAAACTTAAGTACCAATTATTTTTCAATGAAATTTAGCATGAGCATAGAAATTTAGTTTTTTAACCACTATTAAATATAAAAGTAATTAAAGTCTTGCTGGGTGAGTCAGCATTGTTTAAAACCCAAAAATGACTAAAATATGACTAATTAGCAAGGGTAATATTATATTTAATTCAAAAAGTAATTAAAATGAACACAAAAGTAAGTTTTGATAAAGGGTGTTTTAACAAAAATTAGGCAATTTTTTTTATAGTTACTGTTTTTATAAAATTTTAAGAGTAAGGGAAATTCTTTATTGCGCAGAAATTTACAGGGAATCTAAATCTGCAAAAAAAAAACATGTCTTGCTAGGTGGCTCGCTTAGTTTTAAGCGGGAAAATGACTAATATTTGACTAATTAAGGAGAAACTATAAATGAAAAATAAATAAATTTTGAAAAATTTTTTTGAATTTGTAAAACTTTATATTTGGTTAAAAAGTCATTAAAATAACTACATAAAGTAGGTTTTTGGTTTACATTATTTTTAGAAAAATTAAGTGATTTTATCTATGTTATGTCTATGTTATCGTAGGATGCACCGTAAATATTTTATTTGAAAAAAAAAGTGTCCACCAGAAAGGGTTTGCATTTTCAAATCCACGATACATTGTACTATTATAATCTAAATTTTAAATCTTTAAAAAAAAAAACCAAAGGTTTCCAAAACCAAGACTCTAGGCTTTCTAGGCTAAGACTCTTGGTCTTCAAGTTTCAAGACCAAGACAGTTAAATATGAGCCCTAATTCTCGAGACCTACATCTCTGGTTGTGAGACCCTGATTGTATTTTGTTCAAAAAAATGAGTTTTTTAAAATATTATGGTTATTCTCAAAGATATCTACAAAAATCCTTGTATATTATTTGCAGAGTAGTGAGCTTGATTTGAAAATAAACTTGCACATAATTGATTATTATTTTATTAATTATTGACCAAAATTTGGGACCAATGTTTCATATATTAAAAAACATAGTTTTAAGGGTTTTAATGTTCACAAACTCAAATATACTACCAGATGCTCTTCCTAACATTCGTATCCTATTTTACACAACCAATTTTTTTAATGTGATTATGACTAATAATCAATGTATTGCTGTCATTGAACTGAATACTTTAGCGTGCTTAATACTCAGGATGAAACATTAATTTTCAGATATATATATATCATATACAGCATGCCAAGTTCAAGGCATTTCAGGTCGGCAAAAGAGTGCTATACTAAGCCGAGGTCACACCAGCAAAAAACCTTGCTCTGCTGGAATTATGCTTTAATTTAGAAAGAAAAAAAAAACAGAATGCATTTTTTCCCAAAAATAGAACTTTCTGAACAAGACTTTTTCAAAATTTATTTAAAAGTTATTACAATACCTTGAACAAATATATATAAATATTTTTATATATATATTTTTTTTTTGCATGTCAACACTAGGAGATTTACGATGTATGTATAGGAGATGTATGCCATCATAAAGCAAATATAGGTTGGGTTTTATTAGCATTGCCAAATGTCGACATCAATTTGAAAGAGGCTCAAGCTTAGCAGATGGACCGGGTCCAACTCTATTTAATAATTAGTTAATTCATTGGTATCAGCATCAGTACTGGCTTTTTCCCATCCATCGGTATCGTCATCGGCCAAAAAAGTGATATCGGTACATCACAAATATATATATATATATATATATATATATATATATATATATATATATATATATATATATATCAGCCTATTTTACTACCTGTCACTAGCTCTTTGTATTAATGAATTGCTAATATTTGGCCACTTATTATCTAATATGTCTTCATTTAGGTCGTTCTAACAGCAAGTCGAAAGATTGTCAACTTGCAACAATTATTTATGGATATATCATGATTTTTTGAAAATTTTTGCTATTTGTCATGGCGTGCCTTTATGGTATGCCATGATAGATAAATTTTCTTGAATTCATGAAACACTTGCAACATGATATCTCACTGAAATGTTTGAAATGCTTAAACAATGAAAAAAGGTATTTTTTCTCTAATCGTTTCTATAGAAATCTGTGTAGTATTTAGAAAGAAAACTTTCTACTACTAGTTTTTTTTAATATATATATATATATATATATATATATATATATATATATATATATATATATATATATATATATATATATATATATATATATATATATATATATATATATATATATATATATATATATATAATTATTTGAATTAAATTAACAACACTTTTTAAATGTTTGTTATACAAACATTTTAAAAGTGTGTTAATTTAAATATTAATTTCAATTGTCCTTAACAGGTCTTTTTTTTTTTTTTTTTTTGTTAATTACCTCCTCAAGGCCGAGAAGGCCACTACAGATGAGGAGGCTACTTATTTGTGGTTATAACCCTCTCTCAACTCTATAACTCCGAAACACAAACCATAACAAACAAGGCCGCTGCGCGGAGAAACGAGTTGAGCACGGTACTACCAGGGACGTGGTGGTGATCAAACTTGGAACCTCTTGCTTATGAAGCGAGCGCTCTACCACTACACCTCTACCGCATTTGAATAAATATTATATATATATATATTTATATATTTATTCAAAATATATATTATATATATATATTATATATATATATTAAATATGTATATATATATATATATATATATATATATATAAATATATATATATATATATATATATATATATATATATATATATATATATATATATATATATATATATATATATATATATATATATATATATATATATATATATATATATATATATATATATATATGTATATGCATGTATACACACATTTATATATGTATATGCATGTATACACACATTTATATATAAATGCATGTATACACACATTTAACTACTTTTATATTTTTTCTGTTTCATCACACTTTGTTTTTAACCATCTGGTCAGTAACCGGGTACCTGGAAATCCATTTCAGTTGACAAGATAGAATTTATTAACTTCCCTTTAAAATAAATTTATGGCTGCTCCGTTTCCAAAACTTAAAGTAGTTTAGCATCAATTTTTTCAAATCAATCATTTGATAGCAGTTGTGAACTGTCAAGCTCGATACCTGCTTCGTTGAATGACCGGGTACCAAGGTACTAACTATGCTAAACATATGAAATTTGGGTTTATACTTCATAATAAGACTGTTTTTTAAAGTATTTTATTAGCTATTTAATTTGTTTATTTAACTTAATTCCATAAAAAATAAAAATGCAGTTAATTATTTTAAAAAGTCATTACATGTTGGGGTTGAAATACAATACTCATTACAAATGCATATTAAACATCATGCATATTAAAAATGATTTTCAAGTTTGGCAAGGTTTTTTGAATATGCTGTTGAGACAAACATGGCATAGTATAGAGGAAGATCCCCAGTAATTGTTTTCCTTCCACTTGAATTAAATTGTATGTTCACTTAACCCTAGGTGGGTACCCAGTTATTAAACAAAGGGTGAAAATTTGGTTAATAGCCGGACGGTAAAGCAATTGATTTATTAGTTAATTTCAAATCATTATTTTTGTCAGCATCTTCAATAGATTGAATAAAACCTTTAAATAATATACAACATGTTGTTACAAGTTAATTCTATTTTTTCTCTACTTCTTCAATAAGGAATATCAATGATACCATGAGCTTTTTGAAGATCTCTGTATTTTCAAATATTACTTCGTTCTTTTTTTATTTCTTTTAATTCAGTTTTCTCTCTTTCTCTATAACCTTTACAAACTTGTTTGTCAATTTAGGCATTGTTATCATATTTATATGTTTCCTGGATTTTTATGTAGAATATGTCAAACAAATTAAAGTTTAGATTAGTTCACAACCTTTACATAGTTAAATCAATTATTGAAATTATTCTTTATAACACGAGTTTTATCTGAGAATTAAAAATTTAAAATAAAATAAAAATCGATTAACACAACTCCATGTTAAGAAATCCATGTTTTTTATATTAGTTAAAAATAGCTACCAAATTTTAAACATCTCTTACACATGCATAAAAAATAATTGACCAAGTGAAGATATTTTTTTTTAGATGTACTAATGTGTCTGTTGATTTAATGTTTAAAAATTTATTTCTAATATTCTGTTTAAATATTTTTGAAATATGACAATCTTATATGGAATGACCCCTGAGTATTCCCTGATTATTGAAAAAATAAAAAATTTCCCCGGTTTTCTAGGTTTTTCCTTGGGATTCATGCTTTCCAGGTATTTCAGGATTTCCAGTTTAAATGGAACCCTGTAGATGAATAATTAATTTTAAGGAATATAGTTTTCTGATGTTGAGTTTAACAATACTGACAACAAATAAAAACAAAACTACTTAATACCTGTTACATATGCTTTTCATTTAAAATATAATTTATACTGTATAATAAGAACACACAAACAAAAAATGAAAATTAATCAAATTAGATATGGACACTGTTAATAAAATTGTAAAAAAAATCTATAAAGTGATGTCCTTTTCTGACAAAACTGTCTCCTCTCCCTTGTCTCTTTTTACTCTAACCCAACTCTAATTACATGACGTCCTTTATGGTTAGCCACATGCAAAAGTTGGTCTACAAACAACTAGTCATATTACTTGTTTGTTAATAGAAAAAAGCAAGTTTCATTTTAAAATTTAGTTATGGATCCATATATATTCTTTTTGTTAAGGGACTCCAAAAGCTAATACATAAAGAAATACAAATTAGAAAGATTTATTTGACAAATAAAAAACTTTTTTTCTTCTTAATTAATCTCTTAGTTACAG